CAGGAATTCTGGGAACGCCGCCAGAACAGAGGGGACAGCCAATCCTTTGTGCATTTAAAGAAAATCACCCCGAATCCCCCTCCCAACCCCAAATTAGTTCTATCTCTTGAAGCCATGATGGGACTTAGAACTAAAAATACATACACACACACAAATACACACACTCATATATAAAAATAGCCAGCATTCAAAAAATAAAAAGGCCGAAGTTAGGCTCCTGTATCCAAAATTAAGCTCTTAAATAAATAAATTAGCCTGATTTTCCAAAGCACAGAGCAGTGAATGGCTTTCACTGACATAAGAGGAAGCATCGTGTTGCTGAAGATTGAAGATCAGGCCTGAATATGGATTTGAAAGTCTAATTATAGAATCCTGTTTGCTACCAGCTTGACCGAGAACAACAAATTTCAGGTGAAATGACATTGATTTTTTTTTTTCCTCAGAGTTTGTCTACACTTAAGCAGTGTTAGTAAAGGTAGGAAAAAGCCTTCAGACAAGTAAATAAAATACCACAAAGAAGAAACAGATATACTGGAATAAAACTGCTTACACCGGTGCTGTACATTCATGTTCGGAAAAAGGGTTAAACTTTACCAATGTTACAGCTGGGTGAAATTTTATATTGGTTAATTAGAGAGGTATTTATTAGTTGTTGACAGCCTACCAGGAGGAAATACTGTTTTTCCCAGGTTTTTTTGCCTTCTCTCTGCTAAAAACTCACAATCGACTGGCATCGAGGAGGAATGGGTTTTTACTCCCCCCCCTTTCCTCTCTTTGCCAGATTTGGGTCTGAAGGGTGCTGAAGAGTGAGCACCATATTTTTGCATGGACTGAAAAAAAGAGTGCAAAGGGACTTTCATTTCTGAGTTCATTTTCCCTTCAGCTGCAAATGGTCCTTGAAGCAGTTTTGCTCACACACTGTTCATTTAGGAGGCTGTGACCTTTTTCTGGCCAAAATTGTGCCAAGAGATTCCCAAGGTCACAGTCCCATGTGGCAGTTGGATGGGGACAGATTTCATAGAATCATGGAATGGTTTAGGTTGGAAAAGACCTTTAAGATCATCAAGCCCAACCATTACCCCAACCCTGCCATCCCACTACTAAACCCTGTCCCTAAGCACCTTGTCTGCCCGGCTGTTAAATCCCCCCAGGGATGGAGACTCCACCACCTCCCTGGGCAGCCCCTTCCAGTGCTTGACAGCCCTTTCGGTGAAAAAATTTTTCCTAATGTCCAACCTAAACCTCCCCTGACACAACTTGAGGCCATTTCCCCTCATCCTATCGCCCATTTGTCCTTCTGGGTCTTCCAGTACAGATCAGATTGGGCAGGTCTGGGCTTTATGGTGTCGAGGAAGTGTGTGCTCCCTGGGTGGAGGACCATCATCAAGCAGAGTGGTACTCCACTGATGGGTTTGTGTTGTGCTGTTTAGAAGCTGGGGGTAGCACTAAAAGATCTGGGTTCTGCTGCCAGAAGACTTTGGGAGAGCCCTTTTTGTGCTCTGTGACTCAGTTTCCCCATCTATGGATTGGGCACAATACAGTTCACCTTTGCAAAAGGCTGTGGGCTCAGCAGCCAAGAAAATTTGGTGTTACTGTCATTGCCGTTGTTCTGGCCATTGATGGACACAGGACCAGGGCATTACATTTATCCAACACCTTTTTATGTCCTTTTATGTGTGCTGTCTCCATGAATAGGTGGCATGTCCTCTCACCATGGCCAGTGAGAAACATTGGTGCCCAAACTGTGTGGGTGGTGGTGAATGCCTAGAGATCAAGGAGAAATCATTGCAGGACGTGGTCTCCCTTCTGTTAGCTTCTTTTTCATCTTTTTGAGTGAGTCGATGCCGTGTGATAGTTTGGATCTGCCAACCTGGAGTGCTCGGAAAAGTAAAGACAGTCTTAAAAATAACCAAAAACTGGAGAGAGCTGGTAGGGACAGCAATGTGGAAGAGTAGAGGTCTAGCAAAGGTGAGCTGTTGGGGTTTTGTAGCCTGGAGAAAAGTTGACTGAGGGTTTACTTGGTAACTAGGTGCATACAGGTAAAAGACTACTGCAGGGACAAAATGAATAAATTCTTCTCCTTGTCCATGGCTGGGATGATTAGAAATTATTGACATAAACTTCAGAAGAGGAGTTTACTTTTCATCT